AGTTTTAGGATCGTAAATTATTTAAAATATGTAGAATATTGGAATTTAATGGTAAATGGGCTAATCTTACAGATTCAGCTTTAGAAAGTACACATTTATTATTTTATTTATTTATTATTTTTCCTTACCCTTTTGAATTTTAGTAATCAAAAAGCAATGTTACGACTGAAGCATTACTGAACAGGTCACACATGCACACTCATACATTCACAAAAGACCGTTTTTCTTAACAGACCGAGCAAAGTAGTCAGTAGAAACCGAAACCGAAATAACTCTGAAAAAAAGGGTTTTGCTCTGAGCGTAACATCTAATAAGCAAAAACCCTTTTAAGGGGTTAGCTCACTCCCAGTTGTCATAGGGTTTTTTGTGACAGGTTTTTTCCTAACACTTTGAAAAGGTTGACCGAGCCTTGCAAGCTCTGGATAATAAAAATTTATTTTACTCAACATTTTTCAAATAATAATAAGAGTGAATGTGGGATTCAACAAAATTATAGAGAAAAGCCACGGTAAGACGATTAAAATATTTAATCACATTTATCAAGGAATTACATTAAATTACAAAGAAAACAAGAGAACGCTATAGTCGGGTTGGTGTCCCGACTATCTAATACCCGTCACTTAGCTAAAGGGAGTGCGAACGCTGTACTGGATAGTACGAGGGAGATAGATATATAAATTTTGATTGCGTATAACTTTTTAATGAATGGTCCGATTTGAAAAATGTCTTCTACATTTCGATAGGTATAAATATACACAACACAATTGCATTTATACTTCTCGGAAATCTTTAACGATGTGGGCGCAGGACCCATTTTCAAATCGTTAGTGGGCGATTGTGGGCGTTAGAGGGGGCGTGGCGCTCGGCTAAAATAAACTTGCGCTGCGTAGGAAGCCAAAGAATATGTGTGGGAAATCTCAACCTTCTAGCTTTTGTAGTTTCTGAGATCTCAGCGTTCATACAGACAGATAGACGGACAGACGGACATGGCTAGATCGACTCGGCTAGTGCCCCTGATCAAGAATATATACTTTATGGGGTCGGAAACGCTTCCTTCTAGCTGTTACATACTTTTGCACGAATCTAATACACCCTTTTACTCTACGAGTAACGGGTATAAAAATCATTGTTTTTTACATTTTTAAACATTTTCTGTGAAGTAAAATAATTTGATCGTCAGATCGTGGCCTAAGCCATTTTTAAGGGGTTATATACCTTTTCTTTTTTCAAAAAAACGAAATTTTTTTTTTTGCTGAATCCTAAAGTATATACCCTAGAGAACATTCTCCCAAATTTTCATAAAGATCCGAATAATAGTTCGATAGGAAAACAGCGTTTTGTCTGCTCGACTTCAATAGTTTCACATACTCAACGTAAAACTTTGAATGCGATTATCTCATAGTCGTGTTTTTCCAAAAGTGCCTTCGCTGTGACCACGATTGCGCAAGAACTACTTGATCGATCTTCTTCAATTTTTTTTTAAATTTTTCGTAATGATTGTGCCGAGTTCGTGAACGATTCAGTTTTTATGCGCCAACTTTGATTTCGCAGATCAGAATTTTTTAATAACATTTTTAGGACTCGAAAAATCAACTTTTTGGAAAAATTGTTGCTGTATGCAGAAAAAACCAAATATTCTTGAAAATAATCGTTCACGAACTGGAAACAATACTATACTAATAAAATTTGTTTGGTTTTTTGATTTCAATTGACCTGCTGGACTTCTATCGTGGTCACCGCAAGCCGCTATAAAAAATAAGGGTTCCGAGAGAATTGCCATAACTTCGTAAATTATTCATATTTTTTAAAGAACAAACGCTTGTTGTTTTGATAAAAACATGTACTATCAATAAAAAATAACTTCAGTGTCATAAAATAATTGCTACACACCTGAAAAAAAATCCAAAGTTCACTCAATTTTTTCGCTCAAAAAGGTATATAACCCCTTAAGTGTTGTTAAAATATAAAAATTCGTGTTGGTGTCCGTTTCTATGCGTCCGTTTCTATGCGAACTAGTCTCTCAGTTTTAAAGCTATCGCGATGAAACTTTCCCAAAAGTCTTCTTTCTATTGCAGGTAGTACATATGTCAGAGCGAGCCGGATCGGACCACTATATCTTAAGGCTCCCATAGGAATATTCATAGAAATATAAGAAAATTCATTGTAACTTTGTAGAAAGTAGGCGTTTTGATTCTTGACTACTTAAAAACAAAGTTTAAATAAATAGAAACGCTGAGTCTGGAATCCCTGGAACTGCACCGAGTGAGCATTCTATTATCTGCAAGGGTACATAAGCTTCGGCTGGCCGAAGGTAGCTTCCTTTCTTGTTCACCCTAAAACACCCTAAAAAACAAGAGGGTATTATAATTTCAGTCAGATGTTTGCAACGCAGTGAAGTAGCGTTTCCGACCACATAAAGTATAAATATTCTTGATCAGCACCAATAGCCGAGTCTATCTAGCCATGTCCGTCTGTCCGTTTCTATGCGAACTAGTCTCTCAGTTTTAAAGCTATCGCAATGAAACTTTCTCGAAAGTCTTCTTTCTATTGCAGGTAGTACTTATGTCGGAGCGAGCCGGATCGGACCACTATATCTTAAGGCTCCCATAGGAATATTCAAACAAATATAAGAAAATTCATTGTAACTTTGTAGGAAGTAGGCGTTTTGATTCTTGACTACTTAAAAACAAAATTTAAATAAATAGAAACGCTGAATCTGGAATCCTTGGAACTGCACCGAGTGAGCATTCTGCAAGGGTATATAAGCTTCGGCTGGCCGAAGGTAGCTTCCTTTCTTGTTCAATATCTTTTTAAAACAAATCACTAATTTGCATTCAAACAACGGGCTCAACCGAGTTGAGAATGAAAACTTTGGGAATATAAAAATCAAAAATTTCGACACTAAGCGAATAAATGTGGGAGCGAATGTAAAACACGTCCGTATACAAGAGAGAGAGAATCAGTTAAATAATAAAAATTCTTGGTAATGATTAAATTTCAATTTTTATATTTTTCTTCAATCGTTCTAACTTTTCTTATCCAATTAGTCTAATAGTAGGGGAGAGGTCTGTAGGTTGGGACACCTTTTGTTTTTAGTCTCCCATTTGGACATTCGCTTTTGAAACTTCACGTGTTAGGTACCGATCGAAAGCTTAGTCTTTTAGCTGTAAAATAAATCAAAAAAAAATATTTTTTTTCCCTTGGGAAAACTAAAAAATAATTTTTTTTTGAAAAGTGCCAAAAAATGACAATTTGAAAAAGGGGTGTAGGTTGAGACACTTTTTAAAGTCAATAATACTCACACAAAAAGTACTCCAAACTATAAGGAACTATTTATTTATGTTAATTTAATCAATTTTAGCTCGTCCTAAATCATTTCCCATCCATTTTTTAAGAACTTAGACCAAATAACAATTAAAATCAAAAGGCTCTTTAAACATTTACTTTTCCCCTAATATCAAAGAAATGTACTAGGCAGAAAGCGACCTCTATTGGCCTAAGGCCTTTTTGTATGAAAAACGGGTGTCTCAACTAACACGCTCAAAGTGTCTCAACTTACACAAAATGGGATGTTTCGGGAAAAAATTAATAACTTTTGTTCTGACTGTCACATTAAGCTGATTCTTTTTTTAATTAGTTAACAGTTAATATACTTATGTTTTAAATCTCTTACCAAGTTAATTTAAGGACGTTATTAATTTTAAATGGAATTTTGAAAAAAGTAGACAAAAACTTTTTTGGTGCAAAATGGTACACGACTCTTACAGCTTAAATCTGGCTAGAGCCTGGCTTATAATGTTTTCCCAAAAAGTTTTGTCACTAAAAAGGACTACAAAAAAAAAATAAAAAAAATTTTTTTTTGTGGAAAAGTTTTGAGAAAATTGAGTGTCTCAACTTACAGACTGTCTCAACCTACAGACCTCTCCCCTAGAATTATAACACTGTGCAACATTTTTAGGGTTATAAAATGTAACCGCAATTCTGATTTCATGGGCGGAAAATACTCATCGAAATAAGCTAAACCCCATTTGGGTTTCTCAGCTAAAAATCAGAAAGCAACGACTTGCTACTGCTTTGACAGTCGGCAGTTCTTGGATTTTGCTTTTGCTTCGACTGTGACTGCCGACTTTTCCAGAAGCAGCAGCAAAAGCAACAGCACATATTAAAAAGTTACAGGCAGTCGAAGCAAGAAAAATGAAAAATGATGTGACTTTTGCTACTTCGACTGCAGCATTTCAAACACTGATAGCAGCTATATAATATAGTCGTCCGATTTTTGTTAAATTTATTTCGAAATTCGGAAATATTAAAATACAGTCATATCCCGGAGTAGAAGAGAATACAATAAAAACCAAAGAAGCTAAAATTTATTTTCCATTAATTTACCGATCGTTTCTATGGCAGCTATATGATATAGTCGTCCGATTTTTTTTTTAAACTTTATCCAAAATTCAGAAATATATAAAAAATAATATTTCTAAGAGAAGAAGGTAAAATGTCAAAAAACACCGAAGCTATAATTTTTTTTTATTATTTTTCCGATTATTCCTAAGGGAGCTACATGATATAGTTGTCCGTTCCGGCTTGTTCCAACATATATACTACTTGCAATAGAAGGAAGACTTTTGTGAAAGTTTCAAACCGATAGCATAAAAACTGAGAGACTAGTTTGCGTAGAAACGGATATGGCTAGATCGACTCGTCTAGAATATATATACTTAATGGGGTCGGAAACGTATATTTCACTGCGTTGCAATCTTCTGACTGAAATCATAATACCCTCTGCAAGGGTATAAAAATTGTAAAAATTTGTTCTGAGATTTGACCCCAAATTGATTCTCACGTTTTCCGTTGAATGAAAACCAACAATGTGTTACTTTTAAGTGTTACAACTAAACACAACTTCATAACTTTTTAGGCGTAAGCTTGGAATTAAAATGAACAATTAAAAATTGGTTTATCAATTCGCCCCCTCCTCACTTATAGATTAAATAAGTTACCTGTAAGATGTTTAGTCTATATTCAATGACATTAATTTTTCCATCGGATCCATTTAGCACAGAGAAAATGTGTTCTAATAGCTCTTTTACAATTTTCCAATCAGAGCATTTGGTGGATAAAAGCTTTAAGGATTCAAGTGACTCTCGCCGAGCGATGTCGCCTTTACTGTATAAATTTTGTATTAGAACTTTTCCAACTTTTTGAGCATAACGGCTGCAATCAAAGTTTAACATATCAAAAATTAATCCAATACTTTCAAGTGTATTTTCAGGGCTTCGTAATATCGACCTTTGCAAAGAGGGATATATATATGAATCAAATTCAGATTCGGTGAGCGATTCCAATAATGGACTGCAGGCTAGAATGAACGACTTATCAGGCTTGTGTTTGCATGAAATCATACTCTTAACGAAGTATTCCGATAGTTTTTCGGTATATTTTTTTAATATAACTGACTTATTGCTTTTTGATTCAAATTGAATCATGGCCATAAACATAATAGTAACATTGCTAGTTGCTTCCAGCTGAAATATTATGTCTAAGGTTTCGTCAAAAATTGTAGTATTATCCCATAACTCATACAATATTTTTGTTCTTGCTTCTGCAATTTTTTGGTTTGAAGATAATAGAGTAATTTGATAGAATAGCGACTGATATTCAATTATTTTTGTTTTTTCAGTTTTAAAAATATTAGAATTGTGGTCTGCTTGTTTCTGTAGTAAGCATATCCATCCCAATGCTATAACGGCCGATTTACAAGATTTTTGATGGGAAGTAGTAGCGAACTCTTTAAATAAAAGTGCTTTAAATACGTTTAACATATGTTCAATCGTTAAATCATGGTGAACTGTTGCAAGGTCGACAATAAGTTCTCTAACTATTCGTTGCGATGCAAGGTCCTTATATTTTGTAATAGTAGTTCCAATTACTTTGCAGATGCCTCGAACTATTGATGAATTTATACCTGCAAATAAAGATTAAATTATTAAAGATTATTGCAAGAAAGTGCAATGCAACACTCTAGGTTTTGTGTAGCAAACTTAGGTACGTAAGTGCATCTTTAAGGGGTTTGACACCATAAAAAATATTTATTAAAAATGTTTTGCCGACGTTGTTTAGTTCGTGTTTCTGGGTAGGGGAGAGTGGGGTAATTTCGTCAGCAGTTTTTCAAAGCTATTTTTTGTCCATCTTGAGACACGTTATCATATTTCTATTTTTATTGTTGAATGCGGTTAGCACCAAGCTTTAAAATGAGACATTCCCCTATTTTTTTAATTACCTTGGTGATTTATAAAAAATTAAAAAGTAAAACCAATATACTGAGGCAATCTCGCCACATAGGGGGGTAAAATCGCCACACCACTGGGACAATTTCGTCACCTGAAAAATGTAGGGAACTTTACGCCTGTAAGTATGCTACACTGATCAAGCGTACCATTTTTGTTGACGTCCTATATTGGTTGCTGCTGCTGATACTGTTCGTTAGCCAGCTCGTAAAATAAAAAAAATATGTACTTAAAATAGGTGCGAATTTACCCTAAGCATAGGGTGGCGAAATTTCCCCAGACAGTACTTTTTTAGAAATAATTATTTTTCTTCCGAAATTAGGTGCGAAGTTAAAAATCACTAACGCAGAAATGCACATTATAGCACTGTGTAATATATAAAAAATCGTGTATCTTATTCCTTTTGAATTGTGGCATACAGAAAAAATTTCGTCGAGAACTAAATGTAGCTTTTGAACTGTCAAAACACATTTAATATTATAGCTTAATTATCTTGGCCTTCTGTGAAAATAAAATGCATTTGTTGTGTCATGCCGTCTTGAGGGACTAAAACAAAAAAAATTATATATTTTTAAGACTTATGGATTCCGAGATATTGCAGGTGACGAAATTACCCCACTCTCCCCTACTTATTAAAATTTTTTATATAAAAATATTAAATAATAAAAATGTTATGGCCGAATTCCAAGATCGTCTTTTTTCGATGGTGACTTGCGGTGGACATCATATCCCAAGAACGGTTCATCTCGAATCAAAAATTCAAAAAAATTTCGTTAGTATTGCCTAGTTTTTGGACGAAGGATTTGTAAAAATTTTGATTACAAAAAAAATGGCGACGGTTTTAACAAAAAAAGGTACTTTTTCAAGGTATAAGATTTTCGATTTTTATGCTCTAAAAAAGGAAGTTTTCAAAATTTGAAAATCCTTCGTCCAAGGACTAGCTATTATTATAATAAATAAGTGGTCAAAATTTGGTGTTGATCGGATTAATAGTTTTTTAGTAATCGTGTCCACCGCAAAGGTAATTTCAAAAAAACAAGATTCTGAGATAATCGCATTTAAAGTTTCACGTTTGTAACGGCCGATGTGCAGGTAGTGCGCTATAGATAGCTACAATTTCGGTTCTAATGCTCCGATCGTTATGAATTTTTGTAAGAGTATTCTCAATCGTATATACTTCAAGAATATGCAATAAAAAAAATTCGATTTTTTCACCTATCACAACTGTATATAACCCCTTTAAGGGCCGGTTTCTCGAGTGCCGGCTAACATTTCTCGAACAGATAAAGTCCCTGCTAAGGCATTTTGGCTTTCTCGAGCAACAATGTGAGAGCTAACTTTGACAGGGACTCGGAGCCCCTGTTAAGCGTTTTCGACTCGATAGAAGATAAGAATAAGAAACGAAATCACAGCTGACTTTTCCTTTGAATTATACCCAAACAGCTGATGAAATAATCGAAGCACGCCATTTTTTTCCCTTCACAGCACAATTCTGTGCGTTAACAGCACTCTGTAATTGTTTCTCGTTCACATAAATTAAAGCAGTCGAGAAAGCGGATTTGCTTTTACAAACAGTTTATCTGGTATTTAAGTTTTCGAACAGATAGCTATCAGGGACTTCGACAGGGACTCGAGAAACCGGCCCTAAGTGCGTTTTTCTCGAAACCACGTTTCGAAAGTCCGTGTTCATCGGCATTTTTAAACGGCTCAACCGATCGTTTTCAAATTTGTCGCATATTTTTCTGCATAAAAAAAATCCCGCCCCCCGAGAAGCGTTTTTTTTTTTTAACTGTGACTTTGGAATATCGAAAAAAATTCTCAAAAATAAAAAGTTAAAAGAACGGCTTGCCATGGGCGGGTTTTTTTAATTCTTAAGCGAAATGTAAAAACAAAATGGAAATCCGATCATTTTTAGTGGAGGTACAGTGAACACCGCAAAACGCCTTAGTGTTCCAGCAATTGCTTTGCCACCGATATATTAGCCGATAGTGTCGGCTATAAAAATTAGTGGACAGTATTTAAATGACACTTAATAATATACTTTACTTTGAAACAGGTATCGTAAATAAAAGTAACTGTTATAGGATATGCTGTTTTGCACCCCACTTCGGCCGTTTCCATTAAATTAAAAACAAGAAAGGAAGTTAACTTCGGCCAGCCGACGTTTATATACCCTTGCAGGTATGCCTACCTAAAATGTTGTTTTTACTTTGTCAAAAATCAAAAAGCCTACTTTCTATAAAGTTTTTTCTATTATTTTGTTAATTACACTAGTTTACAGCCAAAATGCTCCCCAGCAATTGATGGCAAATTCTGTCAGGGTTGGACCCCTAGATCACGAAAATACTATTAACTTTTTTTTCGATGGCACAGTTTTTTTTTAAAGATGTTTTAAAGTTCAAAATGTTAAACTTCTAGCTTTTATAGTCTGTGAGATCTCAGCGTTCATACAGACAGACAGACGGACAGACAGACGGACAGACAGACGGACAGACAGACGAACAGACGGACATGGCTAGATCGACTCGGCTAGTGATCCTGATCAGGAATATATATACTTTGTGGGGTCGGAAACGCTTCCTTCTAGCTGTTACATACTTGGAACAAGGCTTAACCGGTAAATGCAATTGCGACACGTGCTCAATGAATGTTTAATGATTTGTTAATTGGATTTGGGCTTTTAAAAACACGGCTCCATGTCTTTGTGCGAACAAGTTTGCCGTCGCTCATCAATATTTATGCCGAGCATGAGCGGGCAAATGCCTCTGGGATCGGTGCTCGGGCCAAGGACTTAAGCCCCTGACGACGGTCTGACAGTGGTCCTTAATGATGGCCCTCTGTTATGCAAATGGGTGCGTGGCCACGGCCCAAACGCAAATGGGTCATACAGTGGAGCATCCATTGACAAGTCGAATATGCATAAGTAATTATGTATAAATTGTATTTATTAACAAGAATTCTGTGAACAAGGAAAAAGTTTTTTGATAAATATGTAACACAGACTACACAGCTGCCACTCATTGATTTGGCCAGAGATTGTGAATGGAATTGTTTCCCGTAATATAATAATACATTTGTCGATTATGAGTCTTATCAAAGTGGCTGAGTTCGACTCCCCCCCTCAATTATTCAGGATTTGCAATGGCTAACATGTGCTCAATCGTACTTATTATTAATTGCCTTGCATATGCGAACGCGACAAATGTTTTAATTATATTGAGAGTAGTGCTTTCGATACGGTTTGTCCCATATTCGACCGCCTACAGTCGGTCTCATGGGCTTCGAGCTTCGAGCAGGCCAGTGGGACAAGTCTGGTATCTGCGATCTCGTCAGCTGCCCCGCCCTCCGATCTCCGATCTCCACTTTCCGCCCCCCGGCTCTGGGTTTAGCTTCGCTCGTTACCAGACAGTCGGACTTACATATATCTGAGCCACAATCTGAACCCGAATCCGAATCCGAATGTTATACAAGCGGCTTGTCTGTCTGGAGCGTTGGTGTCACTCGGTGTTCTATTCATAGCCGACTTGATTCTAATTTAGCCTCTGATTCGCATGACGAATCTTTTCTTGGCACTTTCTTCAGTACGCCAATCAAGCGAAAAAGGTAAAAAGGTAGCAAATTTCGGCCTAAGGCGAATTCATTTGAAATTACATTCACAGCTGACCGAAAAATGGTCTGTACTTATTCGCAATGCAATGCCAAATAATGGGCGAACCGTGAACTAACATCCACAACCAAGTGTTTTGAGGCATGCCAAAAATGTTATTCGAAACAGATGGCAATTACTTTTACTTTTCGACAGAGAATGACACTTTAATTGCCTGCATTCGAGGAAAAACACGGGGATATTTATTTAAATCAAGAATTAAAACGTTTTTATATTTGGAATATTTTTAAAATCATTTTGGTTGCGGTGTTTTCATTTTAATAATTTACGATTAACAAAAGAAAATATTGACTTTTTATTAAACCAAAAGAAATAAAAAAAAATTAAAAAGATTCTGCACGGCTAAAATAAACTTGCGCTGCGTAGGAGGCCCAAGAATATGTGTGGAAAATCTCAACCTTCTAGCTTTTGTAGTTTCCGAGATCTCAGCGTTCATACAGACGGACAGACAGACAGACGGACAGACGGACAGACGGACAGACGGACAGACGGACAGACGGACAGACGGACAGACGGACAGACGGACAGACGGACAGACGGACAGACGGACAGACAGACAGACAGACGGACATGGCCTTACTAGCCTTGATCAGGAATATATATACTTTGTGGGGTCGGAAACGCTTCCTTCTAGCTGTTACATACTTTTGCACGAATACAATATACCCTTTTACTCTACGAGTAACGGGTATAAAGACCTAGCTTTCGTTTTATAGATCGTGTACTTCGTAGTTTTAGCGCAAGACGAGAAAAGATAATAATAAGTGTTGTACAGTGTTCGTTTTTGAGGTTTAACATTGGCACTGTTAAATTAACATGGTGCTGTTAACGCAACGCAGATGCTGCACAGCTGTTAGCAAACTTTACGTTATATTACAAACTGATAATAAACAATGAAATTTAGGCGTTCTGCTGCGAACATGCTCCCCCCGTTGAAGATGTCGGCTTTCAACCGGTTTGGTTTCGATTGGCAGAACGGCGATCCTTGCTATAACTCTCCTGACCAGTGCC